TTTTTTTTTTGTGCGTTTTGAATACATTGTTTGCAAAGGAATTGGTATATGTGAAAGCTACTTAGTTTTTTTTTTTTCAAGCTTGGGGCAGCGTGAGATGAAAACAGGCATGGTGATGTGGGAAGATGAAAACAAACATTTGCAGATTGAATTTTAAATAAAGGACAAAAAGGTAATTTCAATTTAAAGGTCTTAACAATTATTTGGGTCGAGTTAAATTTGAGTTTAGATTGATTTTTTTTTTAAGGTGAATTTATAAACAATCACCCCTTAATAGCCCTGTTTTATCAAAAGGATAACACACAGGGAGTGATTGTTTATGTTTTGAATAGTAAAAAATCTAGAATTTTTTAATTATGATTAAATTTAAGAAAAAGTGGTATTGTTAGTTGTTAGTGGATATATTAAAATAATCATGTTCAATCAATAAAACTAACTAAACGCACCCTCAAAAGACAACGAGTGATTAAAATATTACGAAACAAGAAAAAAAAAATCGAAAAATATGGGATTAGTTTTACTATTTCTTTTGGGAAAAAATCTTTTTCACCCCATAACAAAGACACATTAAGTTTTTCACACTGCCCAATAAAAAGCTAAATTTTTCACCCCAGAAAGTGCGAAGGTTATGCGAAAACTGTCGCATATTCATCACATAACTGTCCATATGCGAAGGTTATACGAAAAACTGTCGCATAATTGTCGCATATCAATTGCATAACTGTCGCATATTCATCGCACAATGCCTTCGCACAATTATGCAATTGATATGCGACTGTTATGCGACAGTTTTTCGCATAACTGTCGCATATCTGTCGCATATCAATTGCATAGGGCATGATTGTTTATCATCCCTACAATAATTTTTTTTACTCAAATTCAAATTTAACTCAACTTTAACTCAACCCCACTATCTCCAATATTATTATATAATTAAATAACATCAACAAATCATTATTACATATCACATAATTCTAACTAATTTTAACTAACTATCACTTCCAATCATTTTTCTCCTACTTTACATCAAATCAACTTTAACTATTTTATTTTAAATACTATTTTAATATATCCACTAACAATTAACCATAAAACTTTTTCTTAAACTTAACCATAATTAAAAAAAATTCTAGTTTTTTTACTATTCAAACCATAAACAATCACCCCCATAACTGTCGCATATTTATCGCACAATGCCTTTGCACAATTATGCAATTGATATGCGACAGTTATGCGACATTTTTCGCATATCCTTCGCATATGGACAGTTATGCGATGAATATGCGACAGTTTTCACATAACCTTTGCACTTTCTGGGGTGAAAACTTAGCTTTTTATTGGGCGGTGTGAAAAACTTATCAAGACTTCAAAATGGGGTGAAAATAGATATTTTCACATTTCTTTTTGCCTTTTTTGCCTTTTGCTGTGTGAAAAACTTGGGGCATGTCGTTTAGACATACTAACTTACTAGTACAGCATCCGTGTTACATGGGTGCTTGTTAAAAAAATATTTTTAAATTTTAAAATCAATGAAAAAACTATATTAAATTTAGTTTACATTTTTTAAAAAAAATATATTACTATATATTTTAGAATGATATGTGTTACTTTATGGAAGAATCCACCCAGGACCCGGAAAAAGCCCTTGACCCCCTAATTGCATCTTTCCGCGAGACAGATCGTTGAATTGGAACTCGTTGAGTGCTGTGCGAATTCTTGGGAGAAAAGACTAGAGATTAGATCACTACTATACTACCTTTCAGACTGTGGGACAACTGGCCTTGCCAGTTTCTAAATATTCTCCAGCCTCTGGTGGCAGGTCCTAAAGAGGAACCTTTTCCTTAAGAGATGAACTCAGTCGGCACTCTGAAAGTGCAACATCTAGAGTAGGCAGAGGAGTGCAGGAGCTGGCCTCTGATGGAATAAAATTTTTAGATTATAAGTAGAAGGATTTCATTTCGTTTACTGAATTTCCTTCGATTATCCGCTAAGATATTTCCAAAAAGTCGAAAACTAAGTGATAAGGGTTTTGTGAAATCTTCTAAAATGTTAAAGCAAGCTCGCTCGAGGGCAATTATCATTGCGCCTTCCTTTATTCGAAACAAGAGGTGAAGAGATTCTTCTATAAAATCCCATCTTCCTTCTAGTCTAATCTAGTTAATAGCCTGTACTTTTGATTATGTTGTCGATTACGTCCTGCTTGATAACTACTTGAAATATAAATATATTAGTCGATAAATAATTTTATTTTTCTAATTAATATTAAAAATAATTTTATTATTGTTATAAAGATAAATATAAATTATTTTTGTTATACATACAATATGGATGTTAAATCGAAGCTCATCAAAAGAAGACTAATTTGATATATTACATATGTAAAACTGATAAAAAATACAAAAGTTATTAATTTTTTAAAATATATATACAATTCAATAGTTATAATAAGGAATGATATTAAAATGCAATTAATACATGTAACATGACCATAAATAATCAACATATTTATGGTAATCCGTACCTAATTATTTTTTGTTTTGAATTAAATTAAAATTTACCCAAGTCTAATAGCGAAGCATGTAATTTTGCCACATAGGATTCCGAAGCACCAGAAGCAGCCACGTAGGCTCAGCGCGTTCTGGATTAATATATAAGGGGAGGGGGATTAAACAATTTGATTAAAATTAATACAAATATTATTACATATTGTATTATATTTGCACTGGTTTTTAAGGCATGGCACCTTATACTCAAGTTATGTATATTCGTAAAAGAAATTAGGTTATTTTAATGATTAGGTCGGCCTAACACAATTTTTATTTTTTATTTTTAACCAAACAACACCCCAGTGGAGTGGGGGTTAAGGCCAAACCCCCAACCTGTATATAAAGGCTCTAAACGGGCTGAAAGATCACAAGATCACAAATACATAGTCTGATGTACATCAAATCCAACGAATCCAAAACTAAAAGCAAGGGAAATATACAATGAAAGCTGGCAACTGCAGCAAAAGTACAAAAGAAAGAAAAGATCCTGGTTCTGGGAGAATTCCGGCAAAGAAGTCAGCATCACAATGTGCTAAATCATGTTCAAGCCCTAATAAAGCAAGTTCGAGCTCGACATGTCTTAATGTTCAAAAAATTAAACATCAGAGCACGTAAAAAGATAAATCCAAATATAAACAAAGTCGAGACGAGCGAAATATCACGTCCACATAATTACACTATCAATGCCATACTATTATTTATGTTTTTTTTTTTTTTAATATGATATATTTATCAAAGAATGCATATATGTATAAAAGATTTAAGGGACTACTAAAAGATCAACCAAAGTAAAATATAATGAAACACACTCCAAATTAGAAAACAAATCTTTATTAACCATTACATAAGTTCGTGTGATACAATCTTTGTTATTGACTAGTCATATTATTTAAAAAAAAAATGCATACGCATATTATTAATTATCATACTTTTTTTTATGTTGTTTTTTAAAATATGACATATATACGAATACTATATTACTAATAATATTAAATGAAAAACATACAGTTGATTTGAACAAAATAAAGAAAAATACTATAGTCCCGTTATGAAATCATTCCGTCTGAATTTATAATCGTTAAGTTTAATCGTCATAGATGCTTAATCTAAGCACTAGTGATAAATGCAACCAACCGATCCATTATTGCCACAGCTTTGTCACTGCTGGAATTAAACAGGTGAAAACAGTGCCCTTCTTCTCTTGTCTCCATTATCTCAGCCTCACCCGCCCACGCGCTCTTCCTCAACCCCTCGTAGTAACCCCACGCTCTGTCCCTAAGCAAATCCTTCTCCGCCACGAAGAACATCACGCGCCGCCCCGCCATCCCCCCGATCCTCGGATCCAACGCTGGGTGTAAGAAAGTGGGAAAAATATATGTTCTATATTATTCAAAAGACATGTACACATATATATAGGAACATAATGAGCCTAAATCTAATCCTACAATATATATACAAAATAT